CTTGGTGTATTGTCACTGTTTCTGGTTCACTACTGCTTATAGTGGTTATCAACTGATTTATAAAACAACTATTCCTATTGTTTTATGTAGTAGTAATATTACTAGTAAGACACATTAAGAAATTTATGTAAAATAGGGATAATGGAATATAACAGAGACATGTATTTAAGGTTTTGCAAAAAGAATACCAATATCACTGGTCTTAAATGTCCACTATTGTAAAATATACATATATTAGAGATGATCCTTTAAAAGGATTCTCCTGTCCTAATAATCTTTATTGCTATAGTGATCAAATACAGTTAAAGAAAAACCAAATGTTTTTCTTCAATCAAAGAAACAATCAACAACCATACATGTATCAGAAAGTCATATGTGACAGACCAATATCCTGCAGCCAAGCCTGTGTCACCTGTGTTACTCCTGTTCAAACCACTGTAGGTAACAGATTTAAGTTATTGTCAAAAAAAACCCTGACTGACTGTAATCATTATGCACTTTACGTTTAACCTATAACATCTAGAGAGAAAAAAAAACTGTTCCCCCTTCCTTTGGGAAAATGATTAAAAGGTTTCTCTACAAGCTAGACCATTTATGGCATTAGAGATTATCAGCATAAGAGACTCCTTTTACAATCATTATCACCTGTGATAGCTGATATATATGAAAATGAAAATAAGTTTATTGAAAACTAAATGTATGTTTCAGTCATATAAATTATTGTACTGACTGGGTCTCTATTCTACTTAAACTCTGAAACATCCTGTTGTTACATTTGTTACAAAAAGAATTACTAGACATAAAACATTTGATCAATTAAAAAAACAGTAATGCATTAAAACAGTGACAATATGGCTGGAGTCACAGATTGAAAAGCGACCTCCCACCCCAGGGGAGAACCAAACCACCCATCCTTACTGGGGTCAACCTTCTAATCAAAATAAAATCAAGAATGTCAAGTTTGTTTGCCTCAACCTGGCTACTGTCAAGTAAACCCTCTTGAAATGTACAGTTTAACGACACTCACAAGCAGAAAAATATCCCAAAAACAAAGGCCTCCAACAAGGAAATTCACCTATATTATTGATAAGGTTTATGGATCGCCACCAAAAATCTAATGATTCTTAGTTAGCTCTATCCTGAGATTTTGACTGAAATTTGCACATTACTATTTGAGTTGGGTTAACTGACAAACACCAAAGGCAAAAACATGACCTCCTTCAAGTTAGTGGTTACAAGACTTCCTTACATCAGTCTACTTGACATTATTATTTGACCACATTGCATATGTACAAATATCCTCTCTAAAAACTTTGCTGACCCATATCATACAAACTGGACATCAAGGGTCAGTTTCATAATAGATGTCCAGTAAAAACTTGGTTTTAATCCAAAATTCAAGATTGACCACAAAGAGTAATTGATATAGTGAACACCAACTCTCTCCTATCCCCATCTGAAAAAAGCACTTGCTGCTGGAGTGGTGGGGTTAGACAAGATGTGGCAGCACATCAAACGCTACCAGATTGAGAATGCTATTACACATATTTGGACACTACAGACATAGGCCTTACTATAAATCACAAAGAGAATTCTTCCCTTTTATGGCACTGATGGCCGAAAATCAGGCAATCTAGGAACTTTCTGTTTCAGAAATTATAAATGGAAAACTTATTTAACATCTATCTAGATATACAAATATATGGTACTTCACCATATACAGTAACATTCAGTGTGCAACATTGATCAGTTATCTCTTATTTATAGGTCCTTTTCACATCAAGTGGTATATAGTCTGTGTACCAATTTGAGAGTTCCTACCATGTTATCATGCCACAGGGCTTTTTTTAACTTCCTTGTACAAAATTTTCCACAAATGCACAACCTGCTGTTAAGTTAATTAATTGGCCATATTGATGCAGAAGCTTTGTTCAAGTGATTGGCATACATACAACCAGGCTATTAAATAGTCAATCTCTCAGAGTGTACCAATACAGACTGTACGCCCCTCAATGTGAAAACAACCTCACTTTGAGTACAACAGGCTCAATATCTTCATTTTAACAGACTGCCAACGTTTAATCTAGCATCAAAGTAGACTAATATTTTCAGCCTTAAACTGAGACAAATCTTTGACTAAATTTGTTTTGTGAAACAGCGTCAGTTAGACCACTTCCAGTTTTGTGTTGACCCAGTTATGAAAAGAGCCTAAAAGAAGAGGTACATGATCTCAAGTAAAACCTACCCTTTAAATATAGTGGTAAAAAAATACCCTACCTAAACAAAATTTACCTGGGCTGATACATAAAATTTGTATATGCCCCCCCCCCCCACACACACACACACACACAAACCATCAACCACCCTGTGTTTCAAAGGTCACTAAAAACTCACCTCTATCATCAGCATGTTGTCTCAGCTACTGATAATAAGACGGGTTCCCATGCCTAGATCGATCCATCTGGATCGGTCTAACTCTCCAGGAAGTCTCACTAAATTGCTATCACCTAACATGCTTATATGTCTGTCACACCTGCCAAATCAGCTAGAGGGTAAAGATAATAACCCCCTAACAACTTTGCTAGGTGTGACAGACATTTAAGCCAGTTAGTTGATAACAATTTAGTGGACTCCCCGGGGAGACAGATCGATCCAAATATCTGTGGGAATGGTCCCTAAATGTAGGTTTCCCCGTAATCATTCAAACTCAGGGTGTCATCAGATTACAGTGCTACTTAAGAGGATGTTAATAAATTAGTGACAAAAAGCCACTTTAACACCACTTTTCTACCTACGCTATCACGCACTTAACTTTTTAAAACAATCCCTTTTCCTCCTCACAGCTAAAGCTATCACTTTCTTCCATGCATGACATTTATGTACCAAAATACTCTGTCAGCTATTTACATTATATGACTATATTGTTATATTCTTCCTGATTTTATGATCGTCAATACAATGTGAACACAGTGTCAACAATTAAAATTATGACAACAGGCAATGTCATAGTCACGTACATACATCCAACATTCATTGGTTTATAAATTGATGTCATGTTACACTGAGTTTATGTTACATGTTGCCAGTATCCAAACATGTCCTGCACATGTCAGTCTATTGTTATAAATGACTCTTTATATATTAGTGAATGATTAATACGGGTCACTGGCCTACATTATTGAATAAACATGACAAACACTATTAATAAAAACCACACAATAAACCCAACACCTGTTATATAACATTTAAAAATAGACAAGAATTTTCCTATAAATTTCAACTATTTCCCCTCAAACACTCACGAATACCAAATCAACTGTTGAGTAACTGACAATAATTGATCCTTTTTTACTTCCAATTTCCTTAATTTTGGAATCTTTCCAATTATTGCTAATATACAAGTAAACGACCCATAATAAATGCACAGTAATTGTCAACAGTAAATCTTCTGCAACACAGATATCATCAAAGATAGTTTCTAATCATGTTCCTCTTCAACAGCTTTATACTTATTGTGTATCTTAGGCTTCGTTCACANACCAGCAGATAGCAGCACCATACAGAGTCTGATTAAAAACTTTGATGGCAATTGAATAACTTTTACCACTGTACAATGGAGTCCAAAAAAAAAAGCACTTGGCACAAATGTGAAACTGCCCAGTGCAAGGCCAAGACTTCAAACAGTATTTTCAATCATATTATCAGATTCTACATAAATTGACTGACAATATCACTACTCAGTATTAGGCTTCGTTCACATGGAATGTCTATTTTCTAAAAATCTATTTTCTATTCGCGCTATCTTTAAATTTTAATGCTGCGTAATTACTGGCAGCGCGAGCCAGTTACTATAAGTTACTATAAGTAACTGGCTCGCGCTGCCAGTAATTACGACGCGGGATATTCAGGGCACAGACCGTGATCATAAGATAGCGCGAATAGAAAATAGAATTTAGAAAATAGACATTCCATGTGAATGAAGCCTTAACTAATCTCTTAATCCAAAATTCCTATCATCATTTAATAATAATGCAAAATTCTCTTTAAGATTGCTATTTATTTTAAATTTTAATGCTGCAACTGTTCCAAAAAAATCTTGTAGTAAAGGAAAAATGCAAATAAGAAGTGGAAGACCAATTTTACCGACATTATTCAATTATTTGAATATAAAAAGAATAAGATCACGATTTAACAAATTAAAATAAAATTTCATGAACTCTTTCATGAATAACATATTAAACAAAATTAAAGTTATAAATTAGTGGTAATGGCTTATTCTGGAATATATGACCAGTGCACATCATCAGTACCTGACTTGGTACAGTATAGTTACTACTTGGATACAGAGTTAGATTTAATAATGTAACAATAAGAACAATATATATTACAATAAACTTCTCTGCACATGTCAGACGCTTGTTACCATGAACTAACACTACTTGACAATGGGCTGAGCACTTATCACAGAGTCTGTGTGCGATGCCATTGTTGTGCTGTGATTGGCTAGTTGAGTCACGTGAAGCCCTACTGTAGCGCCCTCGCGTATCGCGTGAATGCTGCGCATTTCTGGCCATGGAATCCTCCACTTACGGCAAAACGTCTATGAGGAAGACTAATAGACTTTTTTTATAGCTACACTGCCTTGCCTTGGTAGGGAGGAATAAAGGGCTTACTTGTACACTAACTAAGCTGAGTAGTGGACATGCAAGCAGTAACCCGCGTAACTTGACAAGTTATTTCTGGGCTAGCTAATACAATGCTTCAATAATAATGTATCACTGATATTAAATGCGTTATAAAATGTGTAATTACATCACCCCAGCAGGGCATTTTTATTGCTCAAATTATGCTCAGTACTGTTACAAAGGAGTTATAACAACCTATCTAATTGTAACAATTTTTATTCAGTAGTTAACCAAGAGAATGGTCGGGCAGATGGAATATATCTTTCCCGTATTGTCAGACATAATCAAGTGCTAGAGGAGTCCACACTTACCCCGTCCTGCTCGGTCGTGTCCTGCTGGGCCTGACCAAAAAGTTATAACTTCTTGGTTGGACACACACTCGGAGTACTCCGTCAAGACAACCTTGCATTTCTTCCCAGCTATGGCACAGACTGTAATTAGAACAGATTAACTGACATTAACACAGCAATAAAAGTTTACATGGAAACTGTGATGCATTTGAAACGTGACGAGTTTTCCAAATGTTATCATGTGCTGTTTGGCGATTCGTTATGTTGGAAGCTAATATACAAATCTGTTTTTGAAGAAGATATATTAGTTATTCGGTTACTGAGATACAAGTGTGTGAAGTATTTGAAATCCGACTTGAAAACAACTTACCTTTTTCCACAATATCGACATTGAATCCCTTGAGAACAGAACCCTTTCTGGACGAAATGAAAATTATTTATTTTCATCATGTTTTCGAAAGTGATAAACAAATGGAGATATACAGTAATTCATTTAGGACATAATTAAAATTGCTGTACAGTACTCACACATATTCAGCAAAGTTAGGGCCTTCTCCACTAGCAAAGAGCCAAACCTGTAAAACAACAAGAGTCACATACGTTTACGCGGCAATACACATTGTGGTCTCGTCTTTATTATGACCATAATGTACTTCACTGAATTCATTGTCATCATTTATATCTAAAATAGGCCATTTTTATATTAGAAAAAATCAACCAACCAAACAAACATACACTTTTGTAAAGCAAGTATTTAGATATTAATGAAGTCTTTCGATATAAAATACGCGCGCAATCTCAATGGCAAAGAACCAAAACATTATCTCCTTCTCCAACTCGTGCCACATCCATCATTTTTGTTCCCCAGCAACTTTAAAGCTGAATCACTAAGATATCAGTTCACCTTATCATCAGCTGGACAGGAACACTGACAGCCCCCGTCACTAGTAGTAGAAGTAGTAGGCTTCCTCGCTGCTCTAGAGGTAGTAGGCTTCCTCGCTGCTCTAGAGGTAGTAGGCTTCCTCGCTGCTCTAGAAGTAGGAGGCTTACTCGTTGCACGTGTAGCAGAGGGCATATTCGCTGCCGATCTCAACCTGTCCCATGCGTTATTGACCAACCATCCAAACGCATGACTCTCGGCGTCACCTAAGAGCGCAGACACTTGCCATTGGACAGCAAGTAGAACGACCACCTAAGGGGAATGGAGAAAACTTAAACTTGGTTCCCATACCTTGATCGATGTAACAGGATCCATCTCTGAGGGATTTCTCGCTTAATTGCTGTCGGCTTAAGCGGCTTAGATGTCTAGCACGCCTACTGAAGCTGCTGGACGATCATTAATTACCTCCTAGCGGCTTCAGTAGCCGTGACAGACATCTAACCCGTTTGAGCTGATTGCAATGTAGCGAGAATCCCCTCGAAGATAGATCGATCCACAGTAATACGGGAATAAGGGTCTGGGAATGGTCCCTTGGTGAGGGACATGTAATAAAGGGTGTTTTTGTTGCCTAGCCAAAATATATTGTGCAAAATCTATTTTTGTTCAAAATATAGAATACATTGGTAAAATTTTGGAGACACAATCTGTGTAGCTTTTGATTTGAAGCTCCAATAAAGATTCTCATTGAAAGAGACTATAGATGGTTAAAATATTATTTTTGAATGCTGTGCTTTAAAATGCATTCCCATAGATTTAGATCGATCCATCTAGATCGACCTAACTCCCTGGGGGTTCAAGCTAAATTGATGTCAACCGAGCGTGCACGGTAGTAAATTACCCCCTTACAGCTTTTAGTAGGCGGGACAGACATTTAAGCCGGCTAAGCTGACAGTAATTTAGTGAGACTCCCCACAGGGATAGATTGATCTAAAATCTGTGGGAATGGGGTCTTATATATTTATATATAACACGTTGTCATAAGTAAATGGAATGAAAAATACAGGAAATTTGCCCGTTTCGTAACGGTATACAAACACATCTGATTTAAGACTGAGGAACAAATGGAATTATGCTTCATCAATGTCAGACTTACATAAATAAGATCTCATTTTTGTCACTTACCGTGGCAAGATTCATGCTGGCTGTGTAGGTTTTGAAATACGTCTGTAAGAGCTAGTCGAGTTATACACGTGAAGAAGTAGCTCATACCTATGGTAAATGCAGCATGACATATTGATATTTAAGGAAAACATTAGTGTGTGAAAAAATGCAGCATGTTAGGTGTTAGTAACTTGTTACTGTACGTTACGCATGTGAAGATTGTCAGCTCTTAGAGACCATTCACGTACTAACTTTGGATCTCCAAGGGGATTCTCGCTTAATTGCAATTAACCTTAGCGAATTAGATGTCTGTAAACATGTGTCTGCTCACATATTGAAGCTCACAGGAGGTAATTAAATTTCTTTTAGCAGCTTAAGCAGGCATGCCCGATATTTAAGCTACATAAGCTGAGAAAATTAAGCGAGAAACCCCTTGGAGAGGGACCAATCCTGTTATATCTCGACCACACTAGAATTGTGGATGAAAATGGGCCAGTTGTTGAAAAGACAGGTGTGGATGAAACAAAGTACCTATCCCCCCTCCCCCCCCCCAAAAAAAAGGAGAATTGAGATTGATGGAAATATTCTAGTATAAATGTATATTTAGATATAATTGTTTTTCCATTGATAAATTGCATGCTCTTTCTCGCCTTTTCTGCCGATTTGCATGTCTCGCTTCTCATCAAACACAAAGATCGCTTGGAAGAACAGCAGACCAGTAAAGATTGAGATATGAATAGGTCACACTTAGTCAATCCTACGCGTTGTCCCTACAGGGGCACAGTAAGTAAATCTCGCCTCAATTCAACCGGTCGAGGGACGACGCGTGGGGAGGCGTGTGAGAGGCGGAGAGACCATTACAGAATTAAGCGGTCTTCCTTTCATGTAGGTCCGCCATATTTAGGTCGCGGCCTAGCCAGCACTAGCACTCGGCTCCTCTAGATCTGAATGAGGTCATAGTATTGAACTATAGGCAACACGTGAAGGACAGATACGGGTATTTAGCTCATGCCTGCTTCAAATTGCCCTTTCAGGCACATATCGTAGATAGAACGGTCACAAAACACAACTTATTGTAACCGTTTATTATGGCCCAAATACTGAAAATGAGTTTTTTTTTCCTGCAGCTAATTATTCAATAATGCATCTATGTTTGTGCTGATTTAAAACAATGAAAAACCCCTTGGAAATATAAAATATCGGCGTTTATATTTTCACTGCAATGTATAAGCATAGGCAACTCACACTTCGCCATGTCTTGCTTCTAGCTCCATCTATCGGTGTGGATGTTCGCACAACTTGAATATTGAGGCATGAAGTGAGAGACCGAAACGTGGACTGCAGCATAGTGTGTTTATATTTACTCACATATCAAAAGTTGAAATATTCAAATTACCAACAGCTACTAATTTTATTTCTAATTTCATATGATCAAGAGCGGTCATACGTGAATGTACAATAACATTAAGAATTTAAATAATATAAATTGTGTATCTTATTTTCAACGTTATGGATTTATGCATTCACCCCTCTAAGGAACGAGTGTGTTTCGTTAATATGCCTTCCGTAAGATATATCGCTTTTCTATTCTATTTCTCGTTATGTTTTTATGCATATTCGTTCCTGTAAGAAACAAGTGTGTCTAATTCCCACACTTACAATATTAAAATTTCTGTGAAAAAATAAATACACACAGTCTGAATAGCAATGTAGGAAATTGTCTGGGTCTGTCGTATGTTTTGTATCTCCACCAGAAGTGTTCTATATTACAGCCAAAATTGTCAATATAACTGTAAATGCGGCGGCATTACTGTGTAGCTTTCTGTCTATGTGAAGCAAACATCTATGTAATCTGGAGAATTACCTGGAAGTGGAAGAGTTGACATCAACAGTTTTTCCTATCTGCTGACACTTTTAAAAAAGGTTTGAATCTATTTGATAAAGTCAAATGCATCAAAATATATACTGTATATACTGTATTGGTTCCTTGGTTGAATTACAACATTTACCTTTGTTAAAAGAACTTCATTCAAATATGTTTATTCGATTAGAAAAACAAACAAACAAACAAACAAGCAAACGCCAAAAACCCCACAATACTTTTACAGGTGTTGCAACTATTTCAAATACTTCCTCGCTTTTCATTGGCAATTTCCTATTCTTTGCAAACCTTTCCTTCAATATCAAATTGACTTTCAATTTTGAAAATATCATATGTTTAATTCATACATACCAGTGAAGTATTCATACATCTGGCGTCCCTCCACCTGATGTTTGGCGCACAGGGCGCGGTATCCCCCTGATGCCTGGAAGTTTTTAAACGCTTTGTTCCACCATATGGGAAGAGGAGAGTCTTTTTTGACCAAGATTCCTGTTCCACTGGCACAAACGGTGGCGTCTGATGCAACGCTGAGTTTCTTCAAACCGTCAATAAAGGTGTCGTAGGGGTTATAGCTATAGTAAAAGCCATCAGCCTAAAATGCAGAGCATTTCATTATTTGAAATAGTTTGATCATCGCTTGTACGATAATATACATAACTAAAGCCGAGAGCTTTTGTTTCTTTCTCTACATGGCGATTTTATAGAAAAAATCCATGTACAAATTCACAAAGAGACTGTACATGTCTTAACAATATTGCCTTATAGTTTAAACAAGCTTAAAGCGGTAAGATTTTGTTTTTACCCTTAATCCGTTTCTAGTTTTAACTCATCCTTATCATTAATGTAATTTTAACACATCGCGATACTTATCACTTTATTTTAATATCTCAAACATGGTTTTAATAATATATGATAATAATAACGATAATAATAATGATAATAATATTAATATCAAGTATTATTGTTATCTTAATTATTATTATTATTTCATTTCAAAAGCTCGGCTAGAATCCAATTTCTCATATATTCTACACATGCACACACACACACACACACAGCTAATAATAATAATAATAATAATAATAATAATAATAATAATAATTATTATTATTATCCGTGTACCTACCGTCCTGTCCATGACCATAGTCCGAGCCGCGGCGGCATCTGTAGCCCACATAGTGACGAATCCAGTTTCTCCCTGACTTTTAAGACAATCAGGACTCGAATACCACCCTTTCACAAACGCTGAACAAACACATAGATCATACGCATGTATTGCAATGACTAAATGGACTTTAAATACTTTGTCTAGCAGCACAATGGGCCAATTTGAATCTTTGCAAGACGTGAATGAAATAGACTACTAACGGTCTTCATCATGAACATTTTAACATTTTCAATATGTACAAAATGTATTAATCTAACGCAGCTTTTATTTTATTCTGGCTTTCGGACCTACTTTGTTCATTCTTGTATAATTCCGCCATGCATTACAACAGGGTTTAATTTAAGAGAAAGGATATCTTTAACAGAACGGAAAATGGGCAAGTGTAAGTCTTCATACCTATCTTTTTCCCATCAAGGCTGTTGAAATCGGGACTATCTGGATGCGCAAAAATACCCAGGAGAGAGGGATAGAACGGCTTGGTAACATTGAAGAAGTTATTCCGATAGGTTGTTAGACCCCATGAAATGCATGCGTCAAACCAGCCTGCACTCAGACCTAAAAAAGTAACAAGGTGTAGAAATTTAGAAGACACAGATTCCTGCACTTACGGCCAAACCTTATCAGTGGATCAAATATGGCTGACCCACTTGAAAGCTTACCGCGTAATTCCCGAGGGAAATCTATTCACTGTCTATTAATGGATTAATGGAATATGAGGCAAGCTTTCTAGCGGGTCGGCCATATTTGATCCGATTTGTTCTGAATGCGTCCTTAACTCGGCAAGGCGGACAAAAAGGGTTAATACACTGACTGAGCTTATAGTCTCATACTACATGTATATTAATGGATGTTCTCGTGGATACCCGTCTTACACCCCATTTCCATAGATTAGATCGACCTATTTTAGATCGACCTAACTCCCTGGGGGTTCACGCTAAATAGCTGTCAGCCGGGCGGACACGAAAGTTAATTACCCCCTTACAGCTTGTAGTAGGCGGGGACGGACACTTAAGGGGGGTTATCTGGCAGTAATCTAGTGAGACTCCCCGCGGTGATAGATCGATCTAAAGTTGTGGGAATAGAGCCTTATCGTGACACAACTATTACTTGGCAAATAAGAGTTTCAATAATTAACTATCACTGATATCGAAATGTGTTTTATATATATATATATATATATATATATATATGAAATATAAAATTTCCCAAGTAGGCATTTTAGCTGCTAAAATTATTCTCAATACTGTGATAAAGCAGTTTACAAAGAGAATGGTCGGGCAGACTAAATATATTGATGACGTTTTTTCAGCCATCTTCATGTTCCAGAGGAGTCAACACTTACCCCGTCCAGGTCGGTTGTTTCCTGCTGAGTTGGACACTACACACTCGGAGTATTCGTCCAAGACAACCTTGCATTTCTTCCCAGCTATGCCACAGACTGTAATTAGCGCAGGTTAAGTGACATTAACACAGCAATAAAAGTTTAAAGTACACGACAACTTTTAACATGGCGATTATGATGCATTTGAAACGTGACGCGCACTCTAAATGTTATAATAAGGTTTTCATGAAGTCACCATGATGAATATTAGTATTCAAATGTGTTTTTGAAGAAATTGCATTGGTATTTTCCGTTAGCGAGATATAGGGCCTATGTGTGTGTATACTTGTGCGCACTATCGAATATGAGATTTGAATATAACTTACCTTTTTCCACAATGTCAACATTGAATCCCTTGAGAACGGAATCCTTTCTAAACGATAAAATAATTAAAATAATTTTATTTTTATAATGTTATGGGAGCTATAAATAAATGGGAAATTAATTCATCTATGACAAAATTTAAATTACTGAACATTACTCACACGTATTCAGCAAAGTTAGGGCCATCTCCACTAGCAAAGAGCCAAACCTGTAAAACGGCAAAAGGTACTTTTCTTCACCTGTCAGCACAATATATTACACGAAATTGTCGCTTTTAATGTGATCATAATATTTATCACTGCGTTCATCGTCATCATTTACATCTGATAAAGGTCAATTTTAGAACTATAGAAAGGCTTTATTATTATGAAGCGAGTATTTTTAACTAGTAATCCGTTATAAATCCTAATGGCAATAAACCATAACCATCTCTCCTCCCCATTTAGTGCGACACCACCAGTTTTGTTCCACAGCAACTCTAAAGCTGAAGCACACTGACATCTGTTCACCTTGTCATCACCTGGGCAGGAACGCTGACAACCCCCGTCACTTGCACCCATCGCAGACCCGCCCAAGGAGTGATGTCCAAGCCACCAGAACGGAAGGTAGCCCTTGGTTCCACCTCGGGATGCGGACACTTGGCATTGGACAGCGACTAGAACTATTACCTAAAGAGAAAGCATAAAACTTAGTCGGTAAAACGTGAAAAGAGGCGTTTTTGTCACCAAACCAATATATATAGTTCATTATCTCTCTTTTTTGAAAAAAAAAATGCAAATGACACCGGTAAAATGAAAGAGGAAACAATCTGCGTAGTTTTGCATTTGAAACAGCAATAAGAATGCTCGTTGAAAGAGACAGTTGGTCGACATATCAGATGTTTGAATATCATACTTTGTGTAAAGCCCAATACGTTTTTGTTTAAGTTAGTTGCAATTAACCCATTATCATGAAAATGACATTAAAATGTAGGGAATATTTCCACTGCGAAACAACATACAGACCTAGCTCGTTTTAGGCTAAGACACAAACAAGAATATGCTCCCTAAGATTCAGACTAACATTAATAAGACCGCAGTTTTGTCACTTACCGTGGCAAGATTCATGCTGACTGAGCAGGAAGCGTTATATCAATGCAAGCTTTGAAATACAGCTTTTGTAAGAACCCGTCGGTTTATAAACGTGAAAAAGTAGCCCATGCATATATGTAAATGTAGCATGGCATATAATGACTTTTAAGAAAGACATTAGTATGTGAAAAAATGCAGCATCCACATAACATATATAATGTCAGGAGTTAATAGGTTGTTACGGTTTGTTACACATGTAAAGATTGTCAGCTCTTAGATACCTTAATTTTTATATCTCCACCACACTGAAATTGTGATTGAAACTTGACCAGGGTTTGGCCGCTGTTTTATTTTTGTCCTTACATTTTATCAATTGTTGACAAGACAGGTGTGGCAAAGGCCCATTCCCAATAATAATAATAATAATAATAATAATAATAATAATAATAATAATAATCTATTGTTCTACGTAGATCGCAGTGAATCTTGTTGAATACATTCAGATTAAAATATTAACAAAGCCTTCTCCTGGCGTTGAGTTGCATTCAGAAAAGCTGGTGGTAATACGAGCACGTTGGCAACAAAAGAAGGCGTGTCATTTAGTTAAAATGATGAATGCATTAAACGTTTCTGTGTGGCCGAGGTAACATATTTTGGTAAAGCTTTCTGTTACCAGTAGCCCGTCTTTTAGTTAAATTTACATCATCTGTAAAACATCCACATTCATTTGTGGATATAACCTCTCCCGTAATGGGAATCTGGTCATCATGACAAACATTATGACGTCTATAAATTCCACATGACTTACTATACATTTCCATCGCCAGATCACCTTAATTTACTTTTAGATACGATGCGGGTCATAACTTAACCAACAAACATTCACCAAAAAAAAAAAACTATAAAATAAAAAATAACGAAAAAAAGAACGTGCATCCCACATCGTTACAGTCTCACTCCTTGGCATCTATGCTAAGCGGTGTTGTCACATAAGAGAGGCTTATACAGTTTGGGTAGTAGTTGTAGATTGTTATCTGTTACATGTTCGGTATGGCAATATAAACGCAAGAAAAAAAAAGCGTACTCGGAATGTATAATTAACACAAATACTGTGGGTATAACCATATCAGGCCTTTTCAAACAATCTCCTTCTCTTTGAATTGCATCTTCAACATAAAAATAAATAATATATATAAATATATTGAGACGATATGATTTTTTTTCACATTTAAAGGAAAGAGTTTCAAACCGGTGATCAAAACACTTATGTAGAGAAACAAGTTTAGTCTATTTAGAATCCATGGCACGGTTCATAGTTTAGTTTAGTTTAGTTTAGTATAGTTTAGTTTAGTTTAGTTTATTTCACCGTAACTTATGCATCCACTTGTTTGGATGAAAATGACAATATGAATACAATTTTTGTGAATATGTTATTAAACAATCACAATGAGTAAGAATATTTACTTATTTACTAAAAAAAAGAGTTTCTATTACTACTATTACTCAATTGCCGATGAGTGCAGCACTGTCTTGTAGATCCCTCCTAGCAAAAGCGGAGGAGAGAAACTGAGCTAGTGCAATAAGGGTTTCTTCTTCTTGACATTTTATAATTATAGTAAATTTTTCATCAGCTGTTTTTAGGCCAAAATGTGTATCGTGTTTTGTAAATACCTTATATAACATTGCACGCAGGTCGTTGTATAGGGGGCATGTTGTGAGAAAGTGTTTTTCGTCTTCAATTTTGTCTTTAGAACAGTAATGGCATATTCTGTCGGTCCGAGGAGTGTTATTGTATCTGCCTGTTTCAATGTGGAGTTTATGCCCACTGGTGCGAAAACGGCTTAGGTTTTTTCTTTTTTCAGTATCGTGAAGAAGGTCTAGATATTTTTCTTTTTTGAATGTATTTTTGAACTGGCAAGATACTCTGGATTTGGATTTCTCCTCAAGCTCACTGTGCCAGTTTTGTATGTACCCACTGATGATTCGTTCTCTGAACATACTTAGGAAATTTATGTCAGGATTCTGTTTTAGCCATACATCTCCAAATCCGTTTTCAAACAAGAGTTTCATAATACCTTCACTCCATGAGAGGTTATCATCATTCAGATTTGGCAGGCTTTCTGTTGTGAGTAAATTGTAATAATGTAATTCATCTAGGTATGCTTGTTTGGGTAGGTTGTTTTCGTCTGTGCGTAATATTTTGAGCCAAAATTTTATTAATTGTATGTTAATTTTTATGTAAGCAGGAATCCTTCCAGTCTCTCCTCTTACTGTGTGGTTTGAAGTTTTTGGGTGAACACCTAAAATTTGTTTACAAAAACTGAGATTTAGCTTTTCCGATGGAGATCTGTCTGTAAGAGGGGTATATCCCCAGACCTCTGATCCGTACGTTGCGATTGGCATTATGATTGTATCGAAAAGTTTTTCCTTGAGGGATGATTTAATAGGGCTGGTTAGAGGAAAGTAACTTTTTAGTGCAAAAAAGCTTTTTGTGCTTTTTCTTTTAATCTTGTTTGAGCTGCAGTGAATTTACCAGATTCATAAGCATTACATAAGAGACAACAAAACTTTATTGTATTTTATATTTTACGTTTTGTTTCAGTTAACTGCAGCCGTCAGGAAAACATCTTTTCGTAGAGAAGGCCTATTACTTGAAGAAAAACGCACATTTCCATAAGGTCCACTGTGCACTTTAATTTCCTAAAAGTGAAGCAATAAAAAAGATAAACAGTCTATCTGCCCGTTGAAAAGCAATAAGCAGTTTTAAATGACTCAGATAGCCCCATCAAACCGTTCTGCGCGAATCTTATATGTACGTGTCAATGGATTTTGTTTACAATTATGTTCTGTTATACTACTGCAGACATGGGGAAACTGCCGGTCCGACCATGCACTATAGCCTTCAGTTCCACAGGACCGGCAATATTTTTGATCTCACATGTACTCTGGACTGATAAGGTATCTGTGAAAAATACTAGTACCTAAAAATTAATCCACATGCAATCACCGATGAACAAATATTTTAAACGGAATTTAAATTCATAAAGCCACCTCGTTGTTTTGTTTCAAATGGAGTAACCATCACTAGACGTGTCCTTTTTACACATGAACGCTATTTTTATCGCACTGCACTGTTTAGATGGCAAGTCTATAGCTAAAACCCACTTTACACTGGACAGCGTCCTTTCTGCGTCCTTTGTGCGACCATGAAACTGGCCAGGACGCCGTCGGACGCTCAAAGAACACAGTGATTGCCAAAGTCGCACAAAGAGCGTTCAAGCATCGCCGACGACGCCATGGACGCCGCGAAGTTTTGAGCATGTTCAAAACAATCGCAGGGAGAACGCGATGAAGGATGGTCGCTTAATGGACGCAGAAAGGACGCACAAGCATCGCCGAAGTCGTAGAAAGGAGGCACAAGGAGCGCTTTGGTTGAAGAATGAAAACTCAAAGATCGTCCAGTGTTCGGCATGTAGAACATTATTATTTTTTTACTCTCAAACGGGACCGTGCTGAGGTATTTTTCACCAGACAGGAATTCTAAAGGCAACGGTGGTCTCATATGAGCCTCCGATTGTTTTTCCCCTTAAATTCATGAAACGATCCTTTTTTCTTTTTGAGGTTATTATAAAACGAATATTTTGCCTTTTTTACAAGATGCATTGATTGTTAGAACTTTTTGCAGAATGCGTCATTTGAAAACGGATTCAAATACTCTGTGTTGTGTCAGTCACACTTTCTCGTTTTCGGCGCCTGTCCATCCTTCTTATAAGGATAACAATGAACATCTGGCTGATTATCAGTCCATGCAGACCTTGCATCACTATAGTTTAAAGCGTTTATTCCCATTTATTTGTTTTGTGTGCTGGGAATGTTCTTTATTGGATGACCTGGTTAGAACCGATGAAAAAATATGAATTAGAATATAAAGAAGGACGCCCAAACAACGCTCATCGGTCAAGCAGGATGCAGAATGATCGTAGAATAGACGCCGCTGATCGCCGATGAAGGTACAGAGAACGCAGCAAGAATGCTCATTGGTCGCTCAAACATCGCAATGGACGCCCTGGGTTGCACAGGGGACGTACAGTGGAGGCAGGCATGTTGCTCGCAGTTTTACAGGTAAAATCAAGATTCGGTCGCATTTACACTGAATCACGATTTAACTGCTTTGGCGACCGTTGAGCGTCCTGACCACATTTTTGAACGCTGAAGGGACGCAGAAAGGACGCCGTCCAGTGTAAAGGGGCCCTAAGTACCAGTACCAATACAAGTGTCAACTATGACCAAGGACCTGCAGGGAATTAGAAGAAACTGCAGAGTTCTTGATGTTCTGGTCCTCTGGATCTTCAGCACGTTCAAAGTTTCCCTCAAGTCTGCTATTGACTGCAGTTGTCAACGTTATAGCTTCACACAGCATATCGCTATGTTTGCTGTCGCACCCCACGTTAACATTGGACATTAAATAATATGTTGATGTTCGACAGTTAAAGCGTCTCTTACAACCCTTCGTGCGTGCTTAGAGATCGTGCGCCCTCAGAGTTCTTGTCGGGCGTAGCGTTGTCGCAGGATGAAAATTAAATCGCAGCGGACGTAAGTAGTAAGTACTTTATGAGTAGGTGTGTCGTGCTCTAAACGTGGGGCCCGCAAGTGGTCTGTTCGCCTTTTTGGAAGTAGGAAGAAGTAAGGAGCACGTGTGATCTGTACTTGTGTCGCACACAGTGAGTGAGATAATCGTACGTGTATTGCAAATGAAGCGTACGTTTTCAGAAATCGTACTTACGAAGTAAGAGAAACGTAAGAGAAACGAAATGAGCACGGAAGTGTTAAGCACGACACTCGTGCGTCAAATTAGTGGAACGCACGGATAATCAAAATAATATAAAAGGGAGCACCAAGTCTCTTCATCATTCACTGTTTTGGCCTCCAAAATGGCACTTCCAAGAAGGATGCGCCATCGACTTCTACAAATATTGTATTATACAAATATTGAGAGCTGACTGTTCGTATCAGCTTTGATATAGGCGCACGATGCTGTGACATATTTCCTTCTGTTCCTTTATTTATATAAGAAAAATTCTGTTACAGATAACTGTATCACAAAATCCCACTTACCACTGTCTAAATAATTTTCCATATATTATGAATCTGCGTTCCATTCAACAAGCCATCTGTCTGTTTTAAACCTATGTAAAGAAGCACCAATCAGCTGTCAAAAATTCTGTAAATACCAAATTTATGGCAAAGTGGCGGGAAATGTCATCACGTTCCGAGCGCATATCTTATTTCCCGGCTCTGAAAACATCAGCCCACGCCCCGAACCGACCCCCCACGAACTCTCTTCCACAATAGCGTCGATGACCGTGGGGTCCCCGTAAGTCAAAAAGGTCCGGTTTTCTACGTGGATGACGAGTTTCGCTTTTCGGAATACATTGCGGCATGAAGAGCGGAAGCAGAACCAGGTTCCGGTCACGTGGCTGCACAAGGAAGTGACGTAATCAGCGTACACGATCTTTGCTCCTTCAGGGAGAAGTCCCTTGAATGCACCACTTGCTTAAAATTCTTTATTAACCGAAACTATCCAACCTGAAGGCGAGGAATGTGAAATGTAGCACTGTGCAGTGGCTCACTACCAATATATATTACATATACACACTTGACATATGTTTTATAGTATATTCAAAAATTATACAAAATTCAGCTTTTAAACAAAAATATCAGAATGCATTCAGATTCCCTAATAATTCTTTTCATCGCAAAACAAAGATGTAATAATACGACAATGTAAATATTAATACCTTATAGTGACGCGTAGATAAACAGAATTTTATCCAATAGTGCAAATTTATCAAACCTACTTTATTTGTTTTTCGTTGCTTAGAGCTGTGCAAATATTAAATTCATACAGTACATCTACCGTACATAAATACAACTAGAAAAGCACTCCGAGAGCGCAGACCTCCGCCAAGGCAGCAACTTTTGATTATTATTGATTATTGATTGATTATTGATCCGGATCACCACCAAAAACTAATCACTTCTAAGTTTACCCATTCCTACCTACCCTGAAAATTTTATCAAAATCGGCCCATAACTTTTTGAGTTATGTTGATGACAAACAGACAGGGGTGAAAAAATGGTGGAGGAAATTAATTTATTTTGAATCGTGCAGCTCGCAGACAATGAATAGTAGGGGCACAAATGTACCGTAAAAGGTTTTCGCTTACCTGACTCAGACACAGGGGTATTGAAGAACTGCACTTTATCTCCTGCACTGGCTGACACAAGCCTGTACTTGATGGCGGGGTCCAAGATGTAGGTACTGAATGTAAAGGCCCCGTCTTCAATGGTCACTGCCTTGGTGCCATCTATGTACGCTTCGTCTGGTATCCCGGTGAAATCAATGCCGTATTTGTTCTTAAGAAATAAAATTATGTGTAGTTATTAATGCTTTAAAACTGAAAAGTCTGCAAACAAGATAGTGTGTGTATAAATCAAAGATGAGCTAAAACGCATATTATATATAATCTGGAATTATCATATTTTCATGACAATTACAATGTAAATGTGTGTTGCACATTTCAATATAGAGATAACAAGATCCTGTGGCGTCTCACCTTTAACCATGCAGTAGCTCTCTTCCCCTCAGCAATGGCGTCCGTCTCAGAGCGATCAGCCAATCTCTGATGAGCCAGAAAATCACTGCGCGTTCCTGGGGCGTTATTTGGGTCAACAGTTCCATCCATGACGAAAGTGAGGACATAATTGTAACAGGGCGTCTC